GTGGTGGAGGAGGAGGAGGGGGAGGGGGAAGATATCAAGCCCTCAAAGAAGGGAAAAAATCAGGATAAGGAGGCCAAGGCATCCAAGAAGGAAAGTGGCAAGACGAAGCGAAAGAAACAACAAGGTCAGGCCCTCCCTCCCTCCCTCCCCCCTTCCTCTCCTTCTGTTCCGAAACTCCCCGAGCTGATTTCTCCACAGAGCAGAAGAGCAGCTGGAGGAGTGCGATTCCTCAGATGAAACTCCCGGACACGTCAGGGTGGACGGAAAGATTCGGGCAGCTCGGCGGCAGCAAGGAAAAGGGAGAGGAGGACAAGAAGTCTTGGAGGGAATCCTGCCTCGTCCCCCAGGTCGACAGCAAGCAGCCGAAGCCCTCGCGTTCTTGCGGGTTTGGCATGCCGACCTTGTACGGGAACAAGGCAGGGCAGGAGGAGACGAAGACGAAGCAGGCGAGCAAGAAGAAGAAGAAGATCAACGACGGAGACGACTCGGAGCTGATTCGTGCCGGAGTAGCGGGGCACGGGATCGTGGTGGAGGGCTCGAAGGAGGAGGAGGAGGAGGAGAAGGAGGGAGGAGGGGAGGGGAGGGGGAAGGAGCAAGGAAAGGCGCAGATGTCGGAGTCGCTGAGGATGCAGAAGTGTGGAGTTGGTCTTGTGCTGGAGACTTGGAGGCCTCGGGGCCTCGCGCAGGCGCTCAATATGATAGCGCGGACGTACGAGGCTGTCAGGGTTGATCAGGTGAGGACGATGATGAAGATGAACCGATGGACATGCTCCATACGCTTCTCCCCTTCCAACGTCTCCTCCCTACTTGCTTTCAGTCCTCCTGCTGGCCTTGTCCCCTGCTCTCTTCCCTCCTCTCCCCTCTTCTCTTCTCTCCTCCCTTCCCCTCCCTTCCCCTCCCCACCGTCTTCTCACCTTCCCTCAGGTGGTTCCCGACAGCCCAGCAGATCACGCTCTCCCTCACATCGACAAGGGAGACATCCTCAAGCAGATTGACGGCGTCACTGTGATCTCCCTCGAGCACGCAAAGCAGCAGATCCTTGGCAAGCCAGGCACCGTCGTCTCACTCACCTTCGTCAGGAACCAGGTCTTGCTGCTGCTGCTGCTGCTGCTGCTGCTGCTGCTGCTGCTGCTGCTGCTGCTCTTCTTTTTCCCTTCCTCCTCTTCCTCCTAACACTTTTGTGCCTCCTGTCTCTCTCCCTTCTGAATCTCCGCTCCTGACTTGCCTCGTCCCTTCTTCCCTGTTCCTTCTTATCGCGTGCTTGCAGTATCCCTTCGAGGTCTCCATCCGTAGAGGTCTGCGAGGAGGCGAGTCGTGGGCGACGGAGGAGGAGGAGGAGAAGCCCAGGAAGGAGGCGATGGAGGGAAGCGGGTCGGAGGAGAGGAAGAAGATCGTGCGAGGAATTCCCTTGCTCTACTCGCGAGAGCCCAAGAAGCAGGAGAAAAAGTTGCCTGAGTCAAACGGTGAGAAGGGGAGAGAGGAGGGCGAGGAGGAGCAGGAAGGAGGAAGGCAGGAGGAGGAAAGAGCGATGAAAGAAAGACCCGACGACGAGAAGGAGCCGGGAAGAGAGGGAGGAGGAGGAGGACGCATGAACCCGTTGGAGGCTCGGCTGAAGGCTCTAGGGTACGCTAGCTTCTCGGGCACGGATGATGGGGAGGAGCAGGAGGAGGAAAGAAAAGAGAGCAAGAAACATCCTCTTGCAAAGTTCACCGAGGCGACGGCTCCTCGTCTCAGAGGATGCATTGCGTAAGTTATCTCCTCCTCTGCTCTGCTGCTCTTCTCCTTCGTCCCCTCCTCCTCTCCTCCTTCCGCTCTTTCATTCTTACTTCCCACCCTTCCCCTCAGCGTCCTCCTCCCCATTTGTCGCTTCTCTCTCGTTCCCTCCTCGCTGACCCTCGTCCCCAGCTCGCGCGAGAGGAAGCGGAAGGAGCTGGGCGAGGAGCTTCTGGACAAGGCGAGCATCGGGGACGTGCAGGGCATCAAGCTTCTCCTGGGCTACGGGGCTGACGTGAACTTCGTGGACGAGGAGGAGGGTTGGGGGAGGGTAACTCCTCTCCTCAACGCCGCCACCTCCGGCAGCTGCCCAGCTGTCATGACGCTCCTGGTCATGGGGGCGAACGTGAACGCGCAGGACGAGCAGGGGTGGACGGGTATGCACAGGGCGGCTGGGAAGGGACACCGGGGGGTGGTGGAGCTGCTGGTGGAGGCGGGAGGAGAGCTGGAAATGAAGGATGCGTACGGGATGGTGGCAAGAGACTGGGCAAAGTTCTTTGGGCATGAGGTGAGGAGAGGAGGAGAGGAGGAGAAAGTCGAGATGCAACGGAGGGAGAGGGAAGGAAGAAGACAGTAGGGGAGCGGAGGGGAGAAGTGAGTTGAGGAGGGGAGAGAAGGAAGGGAGGGGAGCGGAGGGGAGAAGTGATTGAGGGGGGGAGAGAAGGAAGGGAGGGGAGCAAGGAGCAGGAGGGAGAGGAAGCAAGCGAGGTCAAGGCAGAGAGGGTGTTCTTGCTCACTCGCAGAGCAGGAGATTGCTGAGCTTCTCAGCCCCAAGGCAAAGACGGAGGAGGACATCATGCAGGAGATGCTGAGGCTGCAGAAGGAGTTGGAGGCTGCGAGAGCCAAGAAGTCGCCGTCACAGGAGCAAGAAACAGCAGCAGCAGCAGCAGCAGCAGGAGAAGTAGCAGGAGATGTAGCAGCAGCAGCTCCTGCCGAAGTCGAGATGGGAGTGCAAGATGAGCAGAGGGAGGAGGTTAAGCAGGACCAAGAAGGGAAGCAGGTGGACGAGGGGGAGGAGGATGCGAAGGAGGATGGGGAGGGAGTGGCAGAGCAGAAGTCAAGGGAGGATGAAGCAGCGGAGGCACCAGCGAGGGGGGAGGAGGAGCAAGGAGAAAGCCTTGAGAAGGAGGAGCAGGAGGAGCTCGCGGAGCAGGCAAACTAGAAGGCAGCGAGCAAGCGAAAATTTGAAGTACACTACACCAAAAAAATCAACTCTGCTCCTCGTTATGTCGCTACTACTTGAAATCAAGACCTTCTCCACTGCTGCTCGCCATGCCAGCTCCCATTCCTACATGTGTTTGATCCAGGTGTATGGATCGTTACGTTCCTCCCTACCTCCTCCTCCTCATCTTCTCCGTCTTTCCCTCCTCCTCCTCCTCCTCCTCCTCCTCCTCCTCCTCCTCCTCCTCCCCATCTTCCCGACCCTCGTCTCCATCCTCTTCCTGTGACCCGTACAAGACTCGCGTCGGCCCCTCCTGTCCCGAGGAGGAAGGAGCTTCCCTGATGTCCACACTCAGTGCGTTGGCAAAACGCTGGAGCACGAAGAGTTCATCCTCAGCCAGCAGCGTCATCACAGAGCCCTGCAAGACGATCAGACTACAACGAGCATCCCCACCCTCTCCGTCTCCCCTTCTCCTCCCTCCTTCCTCCTCTCCCTAGCCCTCGCCCTCACCTCCCTCTCCGTCTCCGTCTCTCTCCCTCTCTTCTTCGATACCTCCTCCCTCTCTCCTCCTTCCCCTCCCTCACTTCCCCTCCCTCTCCTCTCCTTCCCTCTCCTCCCTCACCTCTCGTCCAAGTCGACCGGCACGACCGGCACGATGGCAGTACAGCTCCCAGTCAGGCGGGAGATCGAAGTTGATCTGACAAGGTGTTGAGGCGGACGAGAGGCCGAGAGAGGGAGGAGGAGGGGAGACAGTGGGGAGGAAGAGGAGCAGAGGAGGAGGAGGATCAGGAGGAGGAGGAGGAGCAGGAGGAACAAGAGGAGGAGAAGAGGGTCAAGGGTGAGCAGGCATCCCGGAAAAAGAGAGCAACAAAGAGGAGGAGAAGGAGAAGGAGGGCAGGAGCGTTGGCAATCGCAAACGCTGAGGATGGGAGGAGGAGATGGGAAGAGATGGGAGAAGACTCGTTGGGTCCTCACCACCATGTTGATGTCTGGGATGTCGAGCCCGCGAGAGGCAACGTCTGAAGCCAAGAGGATGCGGTTGCCGCCCTGGGAGACGATGAGGAGGAAGTGAAGGGGGAGTTGAGAGGGGAGGCCGCAGAGTTAGGAAGAGAGCAGCGAGGGGGAGTACAGGGACTAGCAAAAAGACGGAAGGGGCATGGTGGGAGGAGGAAGAGGAGGTTTTCTCACAAGGCTGCGAAATTTGCTCATCACTCTTGTCCTGGCGGTCGATCCGATCGCTTCCTCGAGGACAAGGAGACGATCCTTGTCCACCACTCCTGTGTGGAGGTCAGAGGAAGGAGAGAGGTGGAGGGTTGAGGGGAAGAGACATTGAGGAGGGAGGAGTGCGATGAGAGAAGGAAGAAAGAAAGGAAGGGCAGGGAAGGGAAGGGAAGGGAGGGGAAGGGAGGGGAGGGGAGGGGAGGGGAGGGGAGGGGAGGGGGAAGAGGAGCGGATAGGGGAGGAGAGAAGTGGCAAGGACAAGAGGTGGGAGATTGGAAGGTAGATGTGGAGGAAGCAAAACCGGCAAGCGATCGGTACAGGTCGTCCCAGCTATCTCGACTCTCATCGGCGAAGACAACGACGATCCTCTCGCCCTCCCCACTGTCCTCCTCCCGCCCCTCCCTCCCTCCTCATCCTTCCCAGCAGCAGCCCGCTTCATTCCAACCTCACACATCCTGAGAGTCTCCTGCTCCACCTCTCAGCAACTTCTCCTGCTCGCTCCCTCCTCTCACCCGGATACGGTCGTCAAGGGTCTCACAGGGCAGGAAGAAATGGGAAAGCTGAGGAGGAACTTTTATCTCCTTGTCAACGTGAACGTGGACGGGATCAAGGAGCCACTTGTTCTTTTCGCAGACCTGCGATGGCAATGAGAGATAAGGGAGAAAGTTCAGCAAGGTAAGTTGCGTTGAGGATGAAGGGAGAGAGAGGAGATGTGGATTCAACGATGGAGGAAGCGACGATGGAAAGGAAGATGGCAGGGAAGTTCGGGGAGAAGGGTGAGGATACAGAGAAAGAGGGATGTCAAGGATAGCAGATGAGATTGTCGAAACTGGCGGTCAGAGGCATTCAAAATGGTCTCCTCTCTCCTCCCCGTCCCTTCCCTCCCCTTCCCTCCCCTCCTCCTCTCCTGCCCTCCTCTTCTCCAGGACCTGTAAGAAGTGCTGGTGGAACTTGACAGTAGCGCTGGCAAACACAGTCCGTCTCTATCAACAGAGCTCACTAGGCTGGAGCATCCACAGACTACCAGACAACCTGCTCGACATCCGACGCAGCTTTCCTTGACGTCAGGAAACGGCTGAGGAGGCGGTTGAGAGCCTGAAAGGCTCCAATCAGTCTTCTTCGACGCACGATTTCATCTCTTCGCTTCACCTGCTTGCTCGAAGGGTTGGCGATACAGGCGTCCACCTGCACAGATCGAAATAAAAATAAGCAAGCTTTTCATCATCACATCATCGTCATCTTCTGTCTCTGTCTCTGTCTCTGTCCAATTTTCTGACCCCGTCCCCATCAGTGTGGCAATGTATCTTGTTGAATCGTTACAACCCTTGTGTTCTCCCTCTCTTTCCCCATTCATCATCTCTATCGTCCTCGTCCTCGTCCTCGTCCTCGTCCTGAAACTCTTCCTCTTCCTCTCGTCCTCACACGCTTTCCCCCGTCTTTCATCCTCCCATCCTCCATCGTTTCACCTCGTCAACCACCAGGAATCGCAGAGACCCAGTTCTCAACGTTCCTGCACAGGAAACCAGAAGTCAAGCACAACACGACATGGTGGCGACCTTGCATTCTGAGCGTTCACCTGCTTCTGACACTTTCAGCAGCGACTCTGCATCGCCGATCACAACCTGATAATCAGAAAATGACAATCAATGCAAACATCCCGCTGCAGGGTTACTTGGGGGGGGTCGGCCTTGAGCCAGATTCGTTGCCTTTTTGCCTGCAAATCAAACCTGTCATGCTCCCCTTTCCCCCAATCTTTTCCCCCGCATCCTCCTCCTCCTCCTCCTCCTCCTCCCCTCATCACCTTAGAATCGCTCGTGATGGACATCACATTCAAGGTAGCATCAGGGCATCCAACGGCGATCTTACAAACAGGGTCAGCATGACAGGGGGGCTAAGCCTGCGCTGCTCTCTGACCTGACGCGCAACTTTGGTCAGCTGCATGGCAAGCTCTCGTGTCGGCGCAACGATGACGGCCTGAGAGTCCCGTCAAATAGACATCAAGATAATTTTATCAGGACAGCACCTGGACCCCAGCCAGCCTCCTTCCCTTCTTGTCCTGCAGTCGATCCTGGCATGCGCCATCACAGAACTGCTGCCATCGCTGCCTCCATCTCTCACCTGCTCCAAGACCGCGAAGAGTGGGACCATGAAGGCAAGAGTCTTGCCAGAGCCCGTGTAGGCTTGAACAAGAGCGTCCTTGGAATCTCTTACAATCGTCTCTATGGCGGCCGACTGGACGGGAGTGGGGCAGGAAAAGCCGCAGGCCTCCAGTCTGTCGATCAACCAGGACGGTAGGACATCATCGAAACGCTCTCGGTAGGACATGCTCGTCCCCTCCGACCTCGCTGAAGCATCCCCTTCCACAGGCTGCACGGCGAACCCCTCAGTTTCCTCAGCGGAGCATCTGAGGGCCGGCAAGATTTTCTCGCTCGTGCGAAGATTAATACCAAGTCTCATGAACAAGTGAGGACCAGAGGAGGACGGACGTCTTCTCCTCTGTCTCAAAGGAAGCAACCGGGCTCTTGTATCGCAAGTATGCCCCCTGTAGCGATCCATCCCTGCTCGCAGCATATCGCCTGCTGGTGCCTTGCTCGGAACAAAGGAGGAAGAACATGCCGCTGACGCGATCGCCATGATCACTATCGCTCTCATCAACACCCTCCTTATCGCCTTCGCAACTCCCTCCATGGTCGTTGGCTCTCCCCTCGCCACCGCCATCACGCCTTGATTAAAGTTCTTGTGAGACAGCAAAATAAATGCGAGGAAAGAACTAGGCTTGCTTTTGCTGCCCCAAGAGGACTGCCTCCCTTTTCCTATGACAAAACAGGCTGCCCCAGAGGAGGAGGTTTTCAGGGCAGAACATTTTGATATCAGAGATGATTCGATTTGTGTTTGCTGCCTTTTGTTCGAGAGACTCTTCATGGTAGATCAAATGATGCTGCTAGTCTTAACACGAAGCTGCTGATACGTCGGAGTGAAAATGCTGGAGCAGGCATTCTATCATTGACATACCTTGCTTGGCAGGATACGAGGATGAGGTTTTCGGAGACCTTGGTGCTTCTTTCTTTCCTCGTCGTTTCCTGCGATGGCTTTGCTTGGCCGCACCCTGTGCATGCGGGTAAAGACATCCGACCCCACATTCGCTGGAGTATCCACCAGCTGAAGGTTTTGCGCAGGGAGGACCTCGAGGTCCCAGCCAAGGATCGCGCTATCGATGAGATTAGAGGAAGAAGCTCAGTGCTTGCACAGAAGGAGCTTGATACATCGTCTCTCTGTTCTCCCCCTTGTATCTGCTGCAATCGCTATCACCCCTCCTCCAGCAGAAGCCAGGCGAGGAGACTTTGCGAAACTCGACTTCGGAGCAGGAAGAGGAAAGAGCGAAAGCCAAAGCAGCTTAGGGGAAAACGACTTGCCGGCGGCGGGCAAGATAGACCCCTATGACAATAGAGAGAAAGCAAACGCGGATTATGCCACAAGAATGCAGGACTCTTCGCTCATTTCTGAAAAGAGACAGATTTGCCTTGACGTCAAGGAGAAAATATTCACTACAGTCAAGGCCGCATTGGGCGAGAACGATTGGAAGAAGGTGCCTTTCCGAACATCCATGCGGATCTCCTTTGATATCTTTCCAAGGCAAAGTTTGCAATCGACAAAGATGCTGCCGTGCTGCGAAGGGCGATGAATCAAGTCAGCACGAAGGTGTCTGGACTAACTCAGTTTTGTCCTCGACATGTCCTCATTGCAGTGACAGGGCTTGAAGGCTGTGAGTGCGGCACAACGTGGGGGGAGCCAGACAAGTAAGATTTACTCTCCCTCTTGCACAGATCCTGTCCTTACTCAACTCTCCTGTTCAAGGTTGGAAATCGAAGCAGAGCAGCGAGAGAGAAAATTCCTCTCGTAATTCCATCAGTCCCAGCGCTGCAAGGATAGCACTGACCAGTTCGCAGGACACTCAACAAGCTTTCAATATCCGTGGATGGAGCAAAGGTCTGGAATCCCCAGCTCGTGTCTTGTAGACATTGACAGATTGCCCAGGGAAAGGTAGACTCGAAGAAGAGCCAGCTGTTGTTCGATAAGGCCGAAGCCGAGTGGAAGGACTGGCTCAGTTCAGCCGCAGACGCCCAGTGAAACTTGAGAATGCGGACACGCCGGAAATGCACTGACGGTAAAAGTTGGGAAGCGGTGAATACACCAACGAGTTAAATAAACGAACCTGAGAGGATTCCGAACGAGCACGAGCTCTGAACCGTCGTTGATCCGTAAGAGGAATGAAAAGGAGATATGCAAACACAAGTGATTATGGAGAGAACGGTAAAAGATGAAGTTGCAATGAAGGTATTCCTGCATCAATGAATAGAAGCCTGAGTGCTTTGCTGTCAGTGAAGGATTGTCTACTTCATTGTCTGACGGAAACGGAGGCTTGTCCGATCGCGCACTGTGCGCGATGATCCGAACTCGTCTGAGTCTGACAGTGTCTGAGCCCGGCGTTGGGCCGGGGCCGGGGCCCGGCCGGAGAGTGCGGCAGAATGGCCGACGGGGCTGCCGCTGCAGTGCGACTACCGTAGTACTGGGGTCTTGTCATTTGTCCTCGTACAGTAACGTTTTACTTAACTTTGAGTAAACATATCAGGGGGGGAGGCCGGTCCTTTCAGGGAGGGGGTGGGGTGGGGTGGACTGGTTGCGATGTGATGGCAGAGAGCCAAAAGAAGCTGGGGGGTGGGCCGGGCGCAATTAAAACGGGGTGCCTGAAATGCCAGCCAACTTTGTGGTTTGGATTGCTAATTCTCTGGATTAAATTCAAATTTAATTGTTCGTATTTGAAAGTTATGGAGCTTTATTTTCGAGTCACAGATGCGGTTTCTGCCGCGTGCTGCGATTTCCCACCACCCCTCCTGTGCTCCGCACTCGCGGCTCCCGTGTCTTGCTCTCCTCTCCTTGCTCCGTCTGTTTTGGGACTGATCGACTGGCCATGCCCCTTGTGCTCTGATCACAGTCTGTGCCACTTGCGGTCGCCCGAAGATGTCAGGAAAAGGGAATAAACAACACAAAGATGATGCGGTTCGATATCGTGTCATGCGCCTCTCTGGAGAGGTAGAAACAGTGCAGTTGTCTCAACTTGTCGAAAGTCCTGCTCTCGAGTATTTGAAGACTAATCGTGTAGCAAAGGAATGCAATAATACAAGTCCAGGGCATGATGCATCATCTTGTAATTATGTTCATTTCTCGCAGCCGAATTCGCCTGCTGCCAAGACAACAAACAAGAACAAGGCAAATTTTTGCATGGTGAAGCGCCTCTCAGGACAACGCGTTTCGACAAACTTCAATGAACTCGTGCCCAACATTGCATCGGGGTATCTACGTAGCCATCCCGGAGCGATAGGGCAAGAGTGTGGGAACGGAGATCGCCATGACGCATCTAAGTGCAAGTTCGTCCATTTCAAGGAGGAAGCCATCAAACCAGCTCAAATCATCTCCACGTCATTTGTACAGAGTGAGACTCAACGCCACGTCGGGTTAGTCGTAGATGGCTTCAGCTTTCTTTGCATCTTCGACTCTCCTGACGTGTTAGTCACGCTAATCGAGCGAATCGAAGCTACACTTTCTGAGCGATCAAAACTGGTAGCACGTGTGCACCCACAGGCCAAATATTTCTTTCATCCAAATCCCATTGATGCGATGGAAAAGAACGTGATATCACAGAAAGCGGTGATTGAGTCCATGCGACTCTTGAATCGTGTAACGGGACTGGGATGGCGGGTGATCAACAGCAACTTCAAGCGAACTTCCAATGGTCAATGGATGGCAACCATCGAGGACGTTCGGCTTGCAAGCGAGGCATCAGAGCTCTGTCGCAGCGGTCAACTTGCTCCTGTCGGTGCTGATCCAGCGAATGTCACTCTGACGGACTTAGTGATAGTGACTGGAGACAACGATCACTTGGCCACACTGCAGGCTCGTAGCAATAACGAGCTTCGCTGGCTTGTTCCACTCATGTCGGACAATCACTTGATGCCTCGCTCAGCTATTGTGACTGCGGCTGAGCAATTACAGCGAGTCATCGTGTTCAACAAAGCAAACAGTGCTTGTGAAAAGCATGACAAGCAGAAGAAAGAAAAGACGCCGAAAGGAGATGAGGAGACAGAGAAGAATAAACGACCACAAGAGAAGCAGCCGCAGCAGCAACAGCAAAAGGACAAGCAAAAGGAAACACAGAAGAGTACAGAAAAGGAGAAGCAAGAAGACAAACCATCTCAAGGGCTGCGAGGGGGTCAAGACATGAAAGACAAGCAAAACAAGAAGGACAAGGAGAAGGACAAGGAGAAGGACAAGGAGAAGGACAAGGAGAAGCATGATGAGAAGCAGGAGGCGCAAGCACAGGCAAACAAGGGAAACTCCACACCGAAAGGTGAAAAGGAGAGCAAGAAAGACAAGCAAAAAGACAAGGAGAAGCAGGAAGAGAAACCGTTGCAAGCACAGGCACAGAAGGGGAGCTCCGCGACCAAAGATGAGCAGGCCAAGAAAGACAAACAGAAGGACAAGGATGAGGACAAGGAAAAAGACAAAAAAAACAGTGAAAAGAAAGACAAAACAGGCAAGGAGCCCGAAAAGGAAAAGAGTCAGCAGCAAAAAAGTAAGAATCAAGAGAAACCTGAGCCTGAAGCAAAACAGAAGGATGATCAGCAAAAACAAACAAAAATTAAAGAGACACAAAATCCAGAAAAGCAGGGATCTAATGTGCAACAAAAGAAGCAACACAAAGAGCCAGAAAGTCAGGAAGGACGACAGAATGATAAAAAGACCAAGCAAGCTAGTCAGTCCAGTGACTCGAACAAGTCACTTCCTGGAAAATTCTTCTTTTTGAAGCGCAAGAACGGGACGGTTGAAAAGCATTTGTTGTCTGAGATGGCAAAAACTATTGGAAAGGACCATGCAAGGACAGGAATGCATTCGACGGAACAACGAGCCTTGCTTGAGTGCCATTTTTACCCGAAGTGCAGCAAAGGCAAAATGTGTAAATGCGCTCATATCAAGGAAAATGTGAGAGCGAAGAAGACAGTTTCGTCAGCAGCAGTGTCTGATGAAAGTGAGGAAAGCAGTGATGACGATGCAAAAAGCATGAGCAGCGAGGTTTCTTCAGTAGTCATTCCAAAGGGGTTCATCGGCGTGGACGATGAGATCCTTCCGGAAGATGAATTTATCGACAACGCAGGGAAGCAACGAGCCATCAACGATAATGGCAGGCGAGGACGATTCTGCACTTCCACCCCATGCAGGTACGGAGCAATGTGTCTCTTCCTCCATCGACGGCTGGACGAGGGCACGTCGTCCCTCATTTCCCAGCTGCAGAAACTTGTATTGGAGCAGATTGCAGCGACTTCGAAACAGCCAGCGGCTTCAAAACAGTCAGATGCAGTTGATGTTGAGTGCCACAGCTGCATGGAGCAGGTGGACCCTGCAGATTCGTACCAGTGTTCCGAAGGGCATGTGATGTGCCATGAATGCTTCAACCAATTCATTCGCATCACGTGGGCGGAGCAAAAGGTGGAAGCGACGGATCCTGAGCCGCAGCTCAGATGCGCTGCCCCAGGATGCTTGTCAAACCCGCTCAAAGACACCGAGGTTGCCCGACATGCGACTGAGGAGGCGATGGCCAAGTACTTCGCCATCAAGCAGCAATGGCGGGATGCAAAGACGTATGCTCATGCACAGTCGCTTCTTCAGAGAGAGCAGGACGCCAATGGAGGAAGCTTCTCAAGCGAAGCAGGGCGAGCACTACTACAAGAGCAACTGAAGAAGGAGATGCCCAATGCTCTCATGTGCCCGCGATGCAAATGTGGACCGATCGATCACTTCTCCTGCAGTGACTTGACGACCCACGATGGGCACGAGGGGGAAGGAGGAGCGAGAATCGACAACAGCTGCCCCAACTGTCGTTTCTTTGCTAACGACGTCTCCCAGTGGGATCGTTGGGATGGTGTCCTGCGGCGCCCAGAGGACCTGGTTGCATCTTCCATCTCACCCGAGGACCTTCAAATCATGGAGTTTGTTTGCAGCGCCTGCGGATGCAGCCAAGATCGAGCTCGGCAGGTGATCGCGAATGCCAGGAGAGTTCTGCCCAAGGAAGCGACTAGGCATGAGATCATGGGCTCTGCCCTTGACCTTCTCATCTGCTCAGAGAGGCTGGCCAAGGCAACATCAGCGTCGTGATGTCCGCGCTCATGCTGTTCTACTTCTCCACACCTCGGCGGATTCAAGGGCTTTTGATTGGATTTTTGTTTGTTGTGATTGCATTTTTTGTTTGTTTTTCTCTAGTGCAATTCAGAGTCGATCAATTGTCTAAACATTCAATGAATTCCGACAATAGAATATCGGCCTCGAAACAATCATGCCATCGTGACTGAAAAATCTAGATATCGTGACGAATGTTCCAAACCTGTTCCAAACCAGTGTACAAGCTATCCAGCTCGCCGTTGGATGAACGCGTTGAGCTGAAATGATGCACAATTGCCAGTTTGTAAAATTCGTCACCCGCTCTATAGAACTGATCAAACAAAGATATAAAAACAAGCATGATTGTCAAGAACAAACGTGATTGTCGAGAACTGAGGCATGAATGCTATGCAGGGGACTGAAAGAATTTTGCTCACCCCAATAACTCCCTCGCGTCGCAATCCGGAGAAGGCTCCGGATAGCGATGCTCCTCGGCCCAGACGTTTCCTCTGCTCCCCCTGGTCGTGGCACAGGCTAGAGCCTGCCTGCCAGCACTCCACCTCCTCCCCCGACGCTGCCAGGACACACGAGGAGACAGCTCAAAGTCGTGCTTCTTTATTTACTCTACATACATGCTTCGCTACTCTACACAGCCCCTCTCTCCCGTCGTCTAGAGGACGCCGACGCGCTTGACCTTGAAGGTCTGACCGAAGTGCGGCTGCAGCAGCCTCCGCCTGTCGAAGCCGCCTGCCTGGCATGCCGCCGGCAGGAGATCCAGCCGGGGCGCCGACGGGAGCGCCAGACGAGAGTCCAGGGTGACGGGAGAGTCCAAGTCGTCGTCTTGGAGGAGCCAGACAAGGCCGCTGACCAGGCTCGCGAGGCAAGCCACGGCCAGCGCAAGGGAGAGGCGGAGCAGGAGGGCGGCGTGGGCAGGCATGCGGGAGGGGGAGGGAAGAGAAGGGACGGGAGAGGCTTGCCAGTCGTGGGAGGAGGAGGACATGTAGGTGGAGGAGAGAAGGCGGGGTCAGGGGGAAGATGTCGGGTATCCAGTGATGGCTTGCTCAAGCGCGTTTGATGAGGTGGGGGGCGATGGGGAGGATAGGGAAGGAGGTGCGGGATCTTGTAAGGGAGAGCGGGGGGGACCGAATAGGATCTTTTGGCGAAGTGCAGCGCTTCCGGGTCTGGCACGGCGGCGGGTGACTGGGAAGCGCGACGATTGGATGGGACTGAGTCCCGGATGCCGTTGAGGATTGCGAGGTAGCTCGAAAAACAGATCGCTTGGCCTAGTCGCATGTCAACAAGTGACCGACAATCGCGATGTTTCGATGGGACAAGCATGCCTGATCATGACAGCCGTGCCTGGAGTAAACATCCCCCCTTCGTCTCATCTCCTTGGCGTCTGCCGCTCCTCTCATTCTTGGCTTCCCTTGTACACAGCGACATGCCGTGCGATACTTGCGTCGACTCGCCGCCCGCCGACCGCCGCCCCTGCCCCGACAGCCCAGCGCCCTTGCGGGCCAAGCAGCTGGCATGCCTGCAGGCATCTATCCGCCTCATCGAGTCGGGCAAGGCCGTGATGGGGGCGACGGGGGAGTGGGTGCGGCTGGGAAGGACGGCAGGAGCGGGGGGAATGGGGGCGACGGAGGTCAAGGAGGGGAGCAGCGGCGGGGCAGAGGAGCCAAGCTGTGAGCCAGCATGGAGCCAGCGGCCATCCAGAGCGACGAGGGACAGGAGGGTAGTAAGATAGGACGAGAGGGTGTATGTAGGAGGCGATGGTTGGTAATGAATGAAAGACTGGTATCTGCTGATAGGACGCTGTACCGCCTGGGAGAGGCTGAGAGCACTGCGCTAGACCGCATGGCCTATGTTGCTACACGTGCGGTCGTATCGCTGCGTTTCCTCGCTCAAGGCATGCGGCACCCTTTGCGTGCGTTCTCGACCATGGCTGAGACTGTTGGCTCTTGGGCGGGACCGGGACGCGACTGAGAGAGGCAAAGGCAGGGAGCTTTGTCGCTCCAGCCTCACCTGCTGTCTCATGAGGAGCTCTTGAGACTCCAAGGCTATTCCCACTCAGAAGACAGCATGGAGCAAGGCTCCGGATAGCGATGCTCGTCGGTCAAGAGGTTTCCTCTGCTCCCCCTGGTCGTGGCTGACAGGCTAGAGCCTGCCTGCCAGCTCTCCACCTCCTCCCCCGACGCTGCCAGGACACACGAGGAGACAGCTCAAAGTCGTGCTTCTTTATTTACTCTACATACATGCTTCGCTACTCTACACAGCCCCTCTCTCCCGTCGTCTAGAGGACGCCGACGCGCTTGACCTTGAAGGTCTGACCGAAGTGCGGCTGCAGCAGCCTCCGCCTGTCGAAGCCGCCTGCCTGGCATGCTGCCGGCAGGAGATCCAGCCGGGGCCCCGACGGGAGCGCCAGACGAGAGTCCAGGGTGACGGGAGAGTCCAAGTCGTCGTCTTGGAGGAGCCAGACAAGGCCGCTGACCAGGCTCGCGAGGCAAGCCACGGCCAGCGCAAGGAAGAGGCGGAGCAGGAGGGCGGCGTGTGCAGGCATGCGGGAGGGGGAGGGGAGAGAAGGGAAGGGACGGACGGGGGAGGCTTGCCAGTCGTGGGAGGAGGAGGACATGTCGGTGGAGGGGAGGAGGCGCGGGTAGGGCAAGATGTCGGGTATCGAGTGATGGCTTGCTCAAGCGCGTTTGATGAGGTGGGGGGCAATGGGGAGGATAGGGAAGGGAGGTGCGCGATCTTGTAAGGGGGAGCGGGGGGGGACCGAATAGGATCTTTTGGCGAAGCGCAGCGCTTCCGGGTCTGGCACGGCGGCGGGTGACTGGGAAGCGCGACGATTCGATGGGACTGAAGCCGGAAGACGATCGACCGCAATGGATGGATATCAGTCGGAGATCTTGCTGACAGGAAAGAAGTCCGGACGCCGTTGTGGATTGCAAGGTAGCTCGAAAAAAACAGATCGCTTGGCCTAGTCGCATGTCAACAAGTGACCGCCAATCGCGATGTTTCGATGGGACAAGCATGCCTGATCATGACAGCCGTGCCTGGAGTAAACATCCCCCCTTCGTCTCATCTCCTTGGCGTCTGCCGCTCCTCTCATTCTTGGCTTCCCTTGTACACAGCGACATGCCGTGCGATACTTGCGTCGACTCGCCGCCCGCAGACCGCCGCCCCTGCCCCGACAGCCCAGCGCCCTCGCGGGCCAAGCAGCTGGCATGCCTGCAGGCATCTATCCGCCTCATCGAGTCGGGCAAGGCCGTGATGGGGGCGACGGGGGAGTGGGTGCGGCTGGGAAGGACGGCAGGAGCGGGGGGAATGGGGGCGACGGAGGTCAAGGAGGGGAGCAGCGGCGGGGCAGAGGAGCCAAGCTGTGAGCCAGCATGGAGCCAGCGGCCATCCAGAGCGACGAGGGACAGGAGGGTAGTAAGATAGGACGAGAGGGTGTATGTAGGAGGCGATGGTTGGTAATGAATGAAAGACTGGTATCTGCTGATAGGACGCTGTACCGCCTGGGAGAGGCTGAGAGCACTGCGCTAGACCGCATGGCCTATGTTGCTACACGTGCGGTCGTATCGCTGCGTTTCCTCGCTCAAGGCATGCGGCACCCTTTGCGTGCGTTCTCGACCATGGCTGAGACTGTTGGCTCTTGGGCGGGACCGGGACGCGCCTGAGAGAGGCAGAGGCAGGGAGCTTTGTCGCTCCAGCCTCACCTGCTGTCTCATGAGGAGCTCTTGAGACTCCAAGGCTATTCCCACTCAGAAGACAGCATGGAGCAAGGCTCCGGATAGCGATGCTCGTCGGTCCAGACGTTTCCTCTGCTCCCCCTGGTCGTGGCTGACAGGCTAGAGCCTGCCTGCCAGCACTCCACCTCCTCCCCCGACGCTGCCAGGACACACGAGAAGACAGCTCAAAGTCGTGCTTCTTTATTTACTCTACATACATGCTTCGCTACTCTACACAGCCCCTCTCTCCCCGTCGTCTAGAGGACGCCGACGCGCTTGACCTTGAAGGTCTGACCGAAGTGCGGCTGCAGCAGCCTCCGCCTGTCGAAGCCGCCTGCCTGGCATGCCGCCGGCAGGAGATCCAGCCGGGGCCCCGACGGGAGCGCCAGACGAGAGTCCAGGGTGACGGGAGACTCCAAGTCGTCGTCTTGGAGGAGCCAGACAAGGCCGCTGACCAGGCTCGCGAGGCAAGCCACGGCCAGCGCAAGGGAGAGGCGGAGCAGGAGGACGGCGTGGGCAGGCATGCGGGAGGGGGAGGGAAGAGAAGGGAAGGGACGGACGAGAGAGGCTTGCCAGTCGTGGGAGGAGGAGGACATGTAGGTGGAGGAGAGAAGGCGGGGTCAGGGCAAGATGTCGGGTATCGAGTGATGGCTTGCTCAAGCGCGTTTGATGAGGTGGGGGGCGATGGGGAGGATAGGGAAGGGAGGTGCGCGATCTTGTAAGGGAGAACGGGGGGGCCGAATAGGATCTTTTGGCGAAGCGCAGCGCTTCCGGGTCTGGCACGGCGGCGGGTGACTGGGAAGGGCGACGATTCGATGGGAGTAAGTCCCGGATGCCGTTGAGGATTGCAAGGTAGCTCGAAAAACAGATCGCTTGGCCTAGTCGCATGTCAACAAGTGACCGCCAATCGCGATGTTTCGATGGGACAAGCATGCCTGATCATGACAGCCGTGCCTGGAGTAAACATCCCCCCTTCGTCTCATCTCCTTGGCGTCTGCCGCTCCTCTCATTCTTGGCATCCCTTGTACACAGCGACATGCCGTGCGATACTTGCGTCGACTCGCCGCCCGCCGACCGCCGCCCCTGCCCCGACAGCCCAGCGCCCTTGTGGGCCAAGCAGCTGGCATGCCTGCAGGCATCTATCCGCCTCATCGAGTCGGGCAAGGCCGTGATGGGGGCGACGGGGGAGTGGGTGCGGCTGGGAAGGACGGCAGGAGCGGGGGGAATGGGGGCGACGGAGGTCAAGGAGGGGAGCAGCGGCGG